GATGCAATTCATCTCATACGAGGGTGGACTTCTAAACAGATCTGAAGTAACTGTCTCTGGATAACTGCCCTTTTCTCCTCATTGACATAAAGACAAATAGCTCAGATGTGGACATTATGCTCTAGACGTCTGATATTTAGATGACATTTAATGAATTTGTGGCATCCTAAAAACTTGATAATATCTTGCAGCATTCAGAATTGTCCTGAGCCATGTGTTTTAAATACACGAAGAAAAAGAGATCTTGATCAGTTGTTATTTTTGTTTGTGTGGTTTTGCATGTGTATAAATTGTTGGTTTATTTGCATTGCTGTGTTGTTTAGTATTTCAAGTTCCTGTTTGCATGCTTTTGATTAGATATTTTAGTTCTCACCGGTGTTTGTTCTGTTTAGTACCATTTACTCTCCTTCCCCCTGCAGTTAAAAGCAAGGAATGTGAACATGAGAAATGACAGAGGTTTCAATGAAGCTTTGGGGATAGCGACACTAACATTGTTGGATTTTTGAATGAGCTTTTATTTCTTTGCTGAATGCCCTGCATTGACCAAAGGAAATAATATGGGACTCCCTCCTCTATTTTTGCCTCTTACTGAACCATAGTTCAGCATTGTATTTTTTGACGGTATCCAAAAAAGGGAAGTAATTCTCTTACATTTCAACGTAACTAATCCAGACTGGGAAAGAAGGCTGCTGAAACTGCCAAAAAAGGAAATATTTGGGTTTATGTTCTTATTGTGTGCTTTCTCTTCCTTAATTCCTGTATAAAATCCAAACAGGACTTACGAGGCAAAGATCACTATGTAGCTGAAACTTTAGCGTCAATAGGATATAAGTTTCCCTTTTAACCTAATGTTTCTCTTAATGAGACTTTATTTTTAGGTATGATGATCCTGTGCAATGCACAGGGCCAAGGGCCTGCCAAACTGCCATGCTCCTCCTGAGCTCAGCTCAAACAACCATTCTGAACAGAGAAAAGTTGTGTCAGACTTTGTGTGAGGGCGCAAAAACTGGGTAGTACTAATCAGTCCTAACTCCACGGGACTTGTAGTCCCGAGGCTTCATTTGAGTTAGGTCTGCGTCAAAAGAGAAAGTAGACTTAAAGATCTGACTGTTTGTTATGCTTTGCTAAATCAGCTGTGTTTCTACTAAAAAAATTAGTTATTTAGTAAATCCCATTCTTCTTCTCACTATACCTTTTAGGAAACATCTGCTTCTTACATTATATTAAAAATTGGCTGGCAGCTTGCATGAGTGGCTGTTCCATATAATGGAAATGTAGGCCTGGTGATCACATCTAAGCAAGTAGTAATCCGGGTAAAGAGGGTTCAGAAATACTCCCTACAAATATACGGAGTTTCAATCTATTGCAGATGGACTAGATGGTCGCTGTAGGTCTCTTTCAACTGAACTATTCTATTCTGACTGTAGCAAGCCATCACCAGATATGCGGTCAGCAAGGCACTAGGACAGGACCAAATTGGTCGTGAAGATAGTCACAACTTCTTGGACAATGAATATGGAAGAGTCTCCATAGCAAGCAGGGAAGAAATCATATGCGGCCTGAACATATACTGTATAAAAATGACATAGCTCCAGCACTGGGCTCATGGCTGAGCTGGAAAGTCATTTTCTAGAGACTCTTGATGCTATGTACTTATCCTCTTTAAAAAATTTTCCTTTTTTAAAAATGAAACTAGAAGAATACTTCTTAATTGTATTTCATTAATTTCAGTACATCACAAGCCTTAAAAAGTACGGCTCAAACTCCTTGCTGGAGAGGGTCCTTTTAAGAATTTGTTTTTATAATTAGTCCTGCCAGCATGCCATATGGTAGATGAAGATCACATTTCCAGATCTGAGTATTTCCTAGAGAGGGAAACTAAGGCATAGAGAGATTCCCCTTGGACCCTACAGAAAAATCAGATTCAAAGGCAGAGCCAGAGCACAAGAGTTTCCAGCTCCCCTCCGTAGCATACATCATGAGAAACTATGGTGAAAAGAAATTGGCACTTTAGAGAAAGAAGCTGCTTTCCAAAAATAATTCTTATGCTACATAAATAATGATAGCAGCTCTGACATTAGTTCATGTTATGGGACAGAAGAAAAAATGCTTTGCTTCAGACTGCAATTGAAATGAAGGTTTCATTTTTGTTAGCCTCCTGCTAGAATTCATATCTGCACCTAACAACTTCAGGAGAGCTTTCATGAGTTATGTTTTCAAGAGGAATCATTCCAGAAAACTCACAAGGTTTACTATTTCTTTAAGCACTGAATTAACCTCTTTATTCGAGCCAAAGATTTATTTCTACCCCTGAGCCAGAGTGTTATTTTCCCTTCCCATTCACAGCTGTTTACGTGCCAGCTGATACAAGAATTCTCATCCTCCACATTTTTTTAGGTTTAGAGTTTTCATCCTTTGCGTGATTGTCCTGTGCTGAATATCTACTTCTGTTGCTGATATCTTATGGGGGAAAACGGAGGTGTCAGACAAGCCACAGAGACACGTGCTGTGAGCCTGACTCTGGCCCAGCGGTGGCTGAGCTCAGAGATGGGCAGGGGACAGGGACACTCCCTTCCCAATCTTCAGTGACCATGCAGAGACACCTGAACATCTGGGCCACAGGCTCCAAAATTCAGTGGCTCTTTATGATGCCTTTCCTGCCTTAAAACTCTGGGTTCACCTAGTTTAGGGACAAACCTGCCATGTGTTTGCTGAGTAGTGCAGTGATCTCATGTAACAGCATTGAATCTGCCCAGTAAAGGAGACTTTTGGATTATTTTCAAATTGTCTCTATATTTTGCAAGTCTCCAGTCTCCTGGTCCAGAGATATGGCTTTCGGTAATTTTACAGATTCATTCTTGACTCTCTCCAATTCCTAGCAGTCATGCCAAACTCCCAGTCACATATTGCAGCCATTTACCGAAAGCTTATAAACATGAACAGGAATACACTATACCCATACATAAAAACACGCAAAATTGTGCAGAAACTACGCTTGAGAAGAGCTGTGAAATCAGTGCTGCAAAAGAAAACTCAATATGCGTTATTTTTTCACATGGAAGTTTTTGCAGAATATTCCATAAATGCTAGCCTTTTAGTATTTCATTTTTTATGGCTTCTTAAATCAAGACCAGGACTCCAGATCTATTCACTGGGCAATTTTTCTTAGATCTACCAAGAAGATGTGGTGGCTCATAGTGTTTAAGGATCCAACCTAGAAAGTTCAGGGTTTGCTGTCTGTTAAGTCTGGTTCTGCTTGACTCCAGCAAGATGAACACCTTTTTAATAATGTTTCCTAAAAATGCTTCATTAATATCTAGTTAGAGGAGGAAGAGGGCAAAGCAGAGCATCCACATAAGCAAAGGACAGCTCTGCTCACGGCAAAGCTGGAGTCTGGTGGCCTGTGTGCTACCTCTCCTACCCATTTTGTTTGCAACACTTTCCCAAACACATGGTGACTTCTGCATATTTCGAGGATGTTAATTAACTAATTTCACTCCTGTGAAAGTGCTGCTAATTGCTGTTCTACTCCGTTTACAGCTGGGTTCACTGAGGCCCTGGAGGGAAGCAATTTCCTCAGCCTTCCCAAGCAGAGTGATAGTGCCAGGGATTGAGCCCACTCTGACAGCTATTGCATACCTTTAATCTTTCCTGAAGTTATTAAACACTGAAAATGCTCAGCATCTTTTAGGATTATCCTCAGCACCAGGAAGGATCAGGCCCAAGTGAGGTCAAGGAAAAGCAGCAGACCAGGCACAGCAGTCCAAGAAGGTCCTAGCTGGGGTCAGATGCCCTCTTTTCTCACCCTCAGCTCCTCTTGCATACAAAGCTGATAATGACATAACTAATAACTAATTACAACAAGAAGAAGGGGAAAATGGTGCAGTGAATGCTAGCAGAATTCATAAAGCCAAATGCCAGTAAAATAAAGTATGTGTACAAAATAATAGTTTAGCTCCTGGCTACCTGCTGTGTTCAAGCTGAACAAAAGACAAAGTAATATCTTCAGGATGTATTTGTGAAGACAATAGTTCCCTATGATAGGATAAAATTGCAACAGTTTATTTTATTTAATCAGTATCTTATTTGTTCTAATATGTTAAAAGGTTAATATGCATATAAATTAGTCTTGCCTCTTTGGCTAAATTGCACTATAAATACTATATTGTAAAAGATAAAGGAAAGATGTGAGCACTGGACTGCCTCCCATCAAACTGAATTTAACCTCACAGAAATACTCTGTAATTTACAATATGGGCACGCTGATAGGCAGCAGAGATGGCGACAAGTACAAGTAATCAGGGTTAAAAGTGTATATGGGCCAATTTGTAGCTGTGCTATCCCAGGAGAGACCCAAAGAAGGAACGATGCCTCTGAGACACACTTTCTTCCCTCTGTACTGACCTACCTCTAGGTGAAAAAGGACAACTTCACCCCCCTTCCCTGGGCAGCACCTGTTCCTCCCTCCCTGGCAGCTTCTCTGGCTCTTCCCCGCAGGTCAAGCGGTGGTCCCCTGCATCAGAGTACCAATGGGAAGTTTCCCCGCTCCCCTCTTTCCTTTCTTGGTGTCCTGTAAGGCAAAGCCAACATCTGTGGGGAAGGACCAGGCGCTACAGAAGGCTTGCATCCCTCTCATTCTCTCCTCATACACACACACACACACACATATATGTACATCTGAACTACTGTGTTTATGCAGCAAATGAGAAATTAAAGCGTACAAAAAGGACAAAAATACTTTGGAAAAAAAGAGAATACCTTTCAGAGTCAACTCTTCCATGTTTATATGGGATACTAGGGATGAAGATTCGGGTCTCACGTGGGGTGGTTCAGCCCCTGTGTCAGCCAGACCTGCATCTTTTGCAATGCGAAGTAGTACTATTGATCAGCCAGTTAAGAGGACATCGTTGTCAATAGTGTGACCCTGTAACTAACTGTATTTTTGTTTTCCTTTTCCTTTAAGTTTGAGCCATCTGAGTGCCAGCAACAATCAAAAGAAAATGCAAACATTTGTCTCGATAGCCAAGAATGCCTGGGGAATTTTTATATCCGAAAGGAAGCCTGGCTGGAAGTATCTGATGCAGCTTTTTGCAGTTTGCTCTGCAGTTGGCTTCCTCTCAAGCTTTCTCTTATTCCTTGGCATGCACTTCTCCCTGGCACACCACCCTTTGAGTCCCTTACTGATTTCTGGATTCATCTGGATCTCACTTTCTATCGCGCTCTCCTATTTCAAGCACCTGCGCTGTTTTAGTGTCCTTTTCCTTCTTTCTTGCGGACTGCAAAACGGCAGGAACGCTCTTATTACGGCTGGCACAGGTGTTGTGGTGGCCTGCAATGTCCAAAATATTTTCCACAACCTAAAGGTTCTGGCAGACAGTATAACCTGTCATTTAGAGTATGAGCAATTTGCCTTGATAAAATATTATGTTGAGGCAGTAAAATGGATTTATGAGGCAGTCAAGCTTTCCATTGAACTACCTAAACCTGTAGTGTTCCTAAACCACAAATTCATGTCATCTCATTCAATTTCAGATGATGCATTAAAACAAGAGTTAAATGACACAAAGCAAGAAATCCAGAGAGTAGCTAACCAGATATCTTTTATGCTGACTATACTGCCCTATATAGGCCAGAAAGTATTGCCTATAGTGGGGATTTTTCTAGTTTCTTTAGGAACTGGCCTCTTTATCAAAAAATTTGTGGGCCCTCACAGTGTCAAATTTAAGAACACTTATATCACTAAACAGTTCATCGCTTTTGATGAGCACCAAAAGCAACAGCAAAGACCCTGCCTTCTGCCACTTAACAGAAAAGAAAGAAAAGATTATGTGACAATCCTGTCTTTCTCCCTCACAAGGAAGGACAGAAAAAATATGCAGCGGTTTTTTCTCCCTGTAATTATTCATCTTTGCATCTGGCTTCTGTTTGCTGCAGTAGATTATTTGTTTTATTGGTTAATTATTTCTGTGAATAAACATCTCCAAGAAGTACCGGATCTAGAGATTGAACTCAGCCTTTTTCAGCAAGTAAGTACTTACCAGTACTTTATATTTCTTAGTTTACTGTTGAAAAATTTCCCTTCATCTTAGCAGCTGCAGGAGCAGACTTACAGCCGATGAACCATCAGTTCTTTTGTAGCATTATAATTCATTTCAAAAAGAGCCATTGCCTTTACAGATATGTATGTTGGATAGAACCAGACAGTTCTCTGAGCTTTCCAAAGTGTCATCATATTTCTAAAGAATGGTAAATATAGGAAGAAGGACTTTCATTCTTCCATTTATGTATGTGGAGAAGACCAGAAGCTTAAAATTGGAAACTCATAATGCTGACATCTGTGAAGCACCACTTTTATAGTCAACATGCCACTATGACACTGACGTGAGAGATGCCTACCTTTCTTTGGCTGAGTAGTGTGAGGAGGTCATAATTTTAAAAAGCATGGCTGTGTATACATGAAATAATAACGTGTTGCTGAAATCGCAAGGTTCTTCTCACAGGAGCAGCAGCGGCACAGAGAATAATAGAGTAATTAGGTTGGAAGGGATGTCTGCAGACCATCTAGACCAACCTCGTGCTCAAAACAGAGCCAACTTCCGAGTTAGATCAGATTGCTCAGGGCCTTGTATGTGGGTACCTGTAAAGCTGGAGATTTCACCGCTGCAGTGTGTGAGCCGTGTGCCACTGCACGGGAACAGGAAAGCTGCCCAGTTCGATAGCTTGCAAGATCAGGCTTAAAATGTTTCCCAAAAGCATATAACCCTTTGATTCCTTCAAGATAAAAAGATTTCAAAGGGATGCCTGACTCTTAGTACAAAATGTTATATGCTTTTTCTTCCGTTAATTTTTCTCTTACTCAGCATTTCCTATTACTTCCTCTTAGAGCTCATAATAATGAGAATTCATTCCCATTTCTCTCCATCCCCCAAAAATTCACCTAGCCAAAAACAATTCCACAGAGTAAGATTATTAAGGTGAGTAATGCAATAAGTGTGTTTCTTAAAATTGCAAGCAAACAGAACAGGACATACCATCCTTGGCAGAGAGATTCTTACTTTTCTATATGTGACGTACTGAAGGTCTGAGCTGGGTTCTTCAGCCAGACCACATTTTCTGTGACACACTGCTAAACCATCGCAGGTTCAGCTTAGACAGTGTTGTGGTAGACTGGTGGTCCCAGTGTGTCATGGGATGTTCATCTCATTGGGATCGAACCATGAAAGGGAAGGGAGATGTAATGCACAACATCCTTGAGGAATGGGAGCCCTTCAGGCAAATATGAACTACTAATGAAATTAGCCGACATGAGGTCAAGCTGCTGGTCAAATTCTGTCATGCTTCAGATAATGACATTCTGTATCGTGTATCAACATATCAAACTCTTCCATGGGATAAAAATTAAATTATTGTCCAGTTTTACCTTAACAAAGAGCAGAAGTGTTTAGTATCCATATGGCAGACATAAGCCGAAAGTTCCCAGATTGCGTCAGTGGAAAACTTTTCCTAGAAGATGGAGGATGCCAGATTCTAATTGTTACCTTTCTAATTGTTATCTGAACTTTATCTTAGGAAAGTAGGTGAAGAAGCCATTGGATTCACTGTAACTGTTCAATTAGCACTCATATAGCAAGCCAGACCCATCCTGTAGATGTCAGGTTCCTGTGCAAAAGCAGAGAGGCTTTCATCATCTGTGTCGTGGTTTTTGGACTGAGGGTCGAGACAAGAACCGAGAGGGAGCACCCACCAACCATGGTCCTGGGCAAAACATGACTCAGGCTTTCTTCATAAACCAAAACAATTTATTAACAGTTACTTAACAGGAGACATAAGGGAACGAAACCGGTTACTTGAGAGGAGAAAAGAGAAAACAAGGCCAGATCTTAAAACAACACCTCCCCACC